TCCTTGATAAAACTCACAAAACATTCTCTTTGTTCTGGTTTTAAATCCTCGATCTAGGGAATCGTTGCCAACACAGAATGTCTGTTTTTGTCTACATCCATCTCGATGCTTTGTTTTCTGTTGTGCTGTTCCACTAAAGGGACACAGACAGACGCGACGAGTTTGACGTCATGGCTTCACAGCTCACAGCCTATTGGTCGGTGCACGGTCTACAACTTAAGAGGTTCTTGCAAACCGTCTAGTGTATTTTGATTCCTGACCGAGTCGCTGGAGAGAAATGAAATTGAATGGAGGCACTAGGTGGCGCCAGCCTGGCTAATGTGGTTTACGCAGTGAAGGAAAAAACTAAATCAATTTCCACGGTTTATTACAGTTTTACAGGCAAACAACAATGTACATGATCAAGACCTACATCTGCTGCCTCTCCTGTCGACTGGTAAAAACCATAGACCCACCCAAGTGCACTCTGGTCGACCTGTACCACCCTCTTTTATCCACTAGGTGCCCCGTAGATTCAACCAAAACAGAAAAGATGCTGAAGGTAAATAATACCAAATTAGACTAAACAAATTAACAAACATAATATTACCATAGCAAAAATATATTATACAAAACTAAATGAGTAAACTCATCGACACACAAAAATAATACATTTTAGAATAAATTAAATAAGCAAATAGCTCCTACACTGCTTATGATACTAATAACACTAATGATACTAATGGTGCTAATAACTGGCTGATTTGTCACTTGTATCTGAAACAGGACCAACTCAGATCTGAACTGGTCTCACTCACTGCTCGGGCCTCTCTCTAGCGCCGCCCTGGTTCTGACCTGAAAAAATAAATAAAATAAAAACAGCACACAGCACAAAAAACAGTAAAAAAAAAAAAAAAACAAGAAAACCAGGACTAAACCAAGACTATACCAGCCCTAAACAAGGACTAAACCAGACCCAAACCAGGTCTAAACCAGGTCTAATGGTCAGTACCTTGCAGTAGCAGTAGGACATTGGGAGGATGTACAGGAGCTTCAACAGAAGAATCACCACAACTCTGATGATCAGGTCTGAGTCTGACTCTGCAACACAAAAGAACCCAGATCAGACCAGGACCAGGACCAAGACCAGAACCAGGACCAAGACCAGGACCAAGACCAGGACTAAGACCAGGACCAGGACTGGGACCAAAACCAAAGTGCATGAGTCTGTATCTGGACGTACCTCCCACAGAGAGCTGGAGTGTGTGGCTCTGAGAGGAGAAGCTGTGGTTGAACACCTGCAGGAGGTAAACACAGGTGTAGTTTCCTTTGTGGGTGTGGTCAGCGTCAGAGAACAGGAAGTGGGCGGAGTGATTGACAGCGAACAGGGTGCGATTCTGAGCGGGGGGCGCGGCGGGAGAGAGGAGCCGGAAGGAGCCTCCCGGGTACTGTGGCTCCACGGAACATTTGACCCTGAACTTTGAGCCCAGCTGCACCCGCACCCCCTGAGGCTGGAGCTCGGACGCCCCGTCACTCACAGACACGGAAATGATTGGACGATTCAGGAGCTCTGTGGAGACACGTGATTGGACAGTTCAATCTGTGGAGAGGAGTGTGTGTTTGTGCGTGTGTGTGTGTGTGTGTGTGTATGATCTAAACTCTTATTGGACATCAGATATTTTACACCTGACACTCCTCAGGAGCAACTAGAAAAACATCAGAGACAAAAAAAAAAAAAAAAAAAAAAAAAGTAAGATCATACTTTTACCTGAACACACCACCTCCACAACCGAGGAAGAGGAGTGTGAACCAGAGACACATCCTCTCACTGAAGACTCCTTCACACAGTCAGATGAGACCAACCACACAGGACTATGTGGAAAATCATCTTTCTCTCTTCCATAAACAGCAGAACCACAGTCCAGGTCTCTGCACACAGCAACTGTGTCCTCCTGGTCCCAGGATCCATATTTCCTAATCACCCGTCTCCACTCTCCTCTGAGTTTCACCTCCACTGTCCCAGCACAGCGAGTGGCTCCTCCCACCAGCCTGATCGGCTCTGAACAGACAAGAGGCAGAGTGAAGCCCCGCCCCCTTTACCTAAGCACTGAAGCCCCGCCCCCTTTACCTGAGCAGGTGAGGTGGACAGTGGCTCCAGAGGAGCAGGTGCTTGAGTTGGAGCGGGGACAGTCCATCAGAGCAGACTCATGGCCCTCACAGTGGAACGTCTGCCCCAGAGGAGAGAGCGCCCCCTGGAGGAGAGAAGGAGCCCCACAGCCCAGCTCCCTGCACAGCACCTCTGCCCCCCGCTGGTCCAAGTCCCCGTCACAGACCTCGGTCCAGGACCCGTCCCAGATCTGCACTGATCCTGAACACAGACCGGACCCCGAGACCAACCGCACCGAGTCTGTGAACACACATGTGACATCATCACTCTGAACCAATAGGACGCACACACATGTGACATCATCACTCTGAACCAATAGGACGCACACATGTGTGACATCACTGCTCTGAGCCAATAGGAGCTTAGTTCTCACCTGAACACTGGAGCTGCAGACTGCTTCCTGAGCGATATCCAGTCCTAAAACACTGGATCAGGGCTGTTTGTTCACAGTGAGGATAACCCATCACAACTTCTCTTTCTAGACCAGTATTACGCCCCACAGACAGAACAGTGCCACAGTCTAGCACCGAGCACAGTCTGGCCCCAAACCCAAGAGTCATGTCAAATGGACCCACTGTAGTCCAGTTCAGACCTGGTCTCTGAAACTCCCCCTCCCCCTCACAGCGACTGGCTCCTCCCACCAGCCTCAGACTGTACGACTCTGCAGAGAAGAGACACACACTGGTGATCCTGCTCTCAGAGACAGGTTTTAGGATAGACTCCACACACACACACACACACACACACACACACACACACACACACACACACACACACACACACACACACACACACACACACACACACACACACACACACACACACACTCCTCTCAGTGAGGAGGCTGTTGGTTAGATTAGTTGGTCCTGATCTGTGTGAGTGTGTTGCTGAATGGTTCTTACCTGCTGAGCTGTTGTTTTCTGCACTCAGGACCCATGCACACAGGACCCCTGCACATAGAGTTCATGTAACATGACATCTGTTGGTCACATAACACAGAACTGGACAGAAAATGTCTGCTGTTTTGAGCCCAAAACCACAGGGACACGAAGAGACTGTGGTGCAATGTTCTCTGTGCTTCACAGATACTTTATCTCAGATGAAAACACGCATTTTACTCACTTCTGTGTTTATTTATTTCGACATAGTGATGTCACAGGTTTCCTTGTCCTCATTTAGAAACAGAAACATGCATTCACACACAATGTTGAAATGACAGTGTGGGTCATTTTGTCTTTGTCATTTCCTCACATAAATGTAAGAAAAAAATGGATTACAGCTTTTTCATCATGTTTTCATATAAAATACTTTTTTTGTGCTTCCGGGGACATTTAAAACATAAAACATGAAAAGAGGCAAAAAAAAATAAAAAAAAATCTCTTGCTTCTTTCTGTTGTCATATTAGAAACTGAAAATATACAGAGGATTGGAATGGAACTGGGCAAAAAGGAAGGGAGTTGGTAAAGGGATCCAGCGTGACAATCAAATCACCACCAAGAGGAGCCGGACGCATGGGGGAACCACTGCTGTTGTGAATAAATACACCTGAAATATATTTTTACATGACTGATTCTAGTCATTAGAGGATATAGAGTAAATAAAGACACACTGTAATGAGCTAAATTGAAAGTGTCTCTGTGAAAGTGTCCTTTATGGGAAATCATTCCACATCCTCAAATCTCACACATTTTTGCTGCTTTGGGGACATTAGGTTCACTGATAACTGTGATTATTCAGGTCACAACAGACACTTTCAAATCCTGTCATCAGAATGTTCCAGACTCTGGAATGGAGGTGACTGGAGCCAAAGTGAAGCAAGTGAAGAATGTATTTTCAGTGATTAACTGATGAACAGATTTAAATCAGACACTGTCCTGGGGAAGTTGTACTGCAGGTGGCGCTGTCGTCCTGCCTCCCCCGTAGGAAGACAGCGCCAAAACCTGTTTAAATCAGCTGACCAACACGTCATAACAACATCACATGACTCTGAAGAAGAACGCAGGGAGCAGAACAAACTGGTATGAAAAAGGAAGGTTAAATGAACCTCTTTGGACTATTAGAATGTTTTTCTTTACACATTTTTTGCCTGCTTATGTCACCTCAAACTAACTCCATCCTTCAGAAAGTTCACACAGGCCAAACAGGTCACAGTGAAATCCAAAGTGTTTGTTTATTTCTGTAATGTCCTGGGGTCAATAATCATGAACAATGATAAAATCATGGTGTTTTTTCTCACAGTAATCCTAATATTATTATGATTTTAGTCTATTTATTCTTTGTTTTCATTATGTACTCTTTGAGATAGTTTTTTTCAAGGGATTTTATTATTGTAACCTTATGTTATTATAAAAAAACATTTGTTAACCATGACATTTTTTTTTAATTAACCATTAGTTTTAAATTTCTCCAGGCCATAAGAAATCTGCACATTTAACAATCAGCCGCAAACCTGTGACATTATCTTCATTGTAAATAAAACATCTCATCTCTAATTATCTCAGTTTTCAAACACGTAAGTTATTCAGCCAAAACCACAGACTGCCATGTAGAGTGCTTTTTAAAGAACTTTACTGATGTGATAACACAACAATGATTGAGGTGATCTGAATATTATTTGATTTAAATTATATGAATAATTGTCTTAAGACTAACATAAGAAATTAGTTTTAAAATTAAAACCACTTCAAAATAGCAGATTTTTAATTTATTCTTTTAATAGAGACCTTTTTTTTTTTTTTTTTTACATCAAGTAAAGTCTGAGCCTGAACTCACCCCAACACCAGAGGGACAGGAGCAGCACCCTGAGGAACATGTCCAAGAACCAGAACTGAACCAGGTCTGAAACAGGACTGAGTCTGGTCTGCACCAGATTTAAGTCTGGTTTTTGAGAGTTCTGTTTTTAACACGTTCTTATCTGTTGATCCTTTGTGGTTTTCCTCATAAACACGGAAATATGACATCAAATGTAAAACTGTCCTCAAACAGCTCAGAACCGGAATTGAGCATTCTGCCTCACACTCTAGGTTATCATAGCAACCAAAGAGCCAATCAGGAGCAAGGCTATTGAAGGTAACACCCCTTCCTGTTTGAACCAGTGGTTTGGCTGTCAATCAAACCTGTTGCTAGGGAGTGACCCCAGGGAAAGAAGTTACCTCATTGGTCTGTTATTAATGTTCATATGGTGATTTAGGGACTAAACAGTGAAATAAAGACCCCAGGATCATGTTGAAAGGTTCAGACAAATATTTGAAGACCAAAATGAAGAGCTGACTTGGTAAAAACCATGGAAACCCTTGATTGCCTTCAGTTGTGAGCTGAGCAAAAGTAAATGTGACTTCTGTAAGCTGACACGTTGAAATCGATGTGGGGTGGAGAGTGTGCTGACCCAGTCCATCACACAGTCCGTGTGGTACGGCCACTGCTCAGTCCCGGACAGGAAGGTTCTACAGCAGCGTGTGCAGAGAAGATCACTGGATGTGACTTTACAGCCATCAGTGACATTTATGAGGAGCGCTGCAGGAAGTGTGCCTCCAGGATCATGGGCGACCCCCTCGCACCCCTCCCACCTCCTGTTTGTTCCTCTGCTCTCTGGGAGGAGACTGAGGAGCAGAGCCAGAACATCTCGGCTGAAGTCGAACTTTTTTCCTGAGGCTGTCAGACTCTTGAACTGTGCACACAGACTCCTGTTTAGGCTGCCTCTCTATCTTTCCACACGTTTTATTTGTACTTGTCTGTTGGAACTGCTATGTTTTTGATGCACTTTTTAATATTGCTTTTTTTTTTATCTCTCTTGATGACTATAGGAGCATATTTCGTTCTGAATCACAAATAAAGAACCTTTACCTTTGATTAAAAACAGGTTCTATGCTACAATAATGCCATTTAGATCTGCATCACATACACAAGGATTTAATATTTATTAGTCTTTGAAAAAAACGAGGTTTGGGCAAAAAAAATAAATAAATTTTTTTTAAATTATCGCATTAATCGCATGAGTTTGAGCAATTAATCACGATTAATCGCTCATGTTATACACAAAACCAATTAATGAATTAAAAAGTAGCATATAGCTGCACTTTTATTGGAAATGTAAATAAAAGAGTCATACATTTGTTGTGCAAACAGCATTTCTTTCACAGGGGAACCTCAGAGTCTTCAAGGTGTTCTGTGAAGGCTCAAGAAAAAATATTGAATGAATTTTTGTACTACTAATATATTTTTTTCAATATTTTTTTATACAGTGAGTAATAAACATTAGACTAGTAATAATTTCTAGATCGTTGTTATAAACTTGGACTGATATTTCTTGGGTTAATATAATGGAATGGAAATGGACCAATCACATTTTTTCTTCCAATGGTATCTGGGTAAATCATGATCCCTGCATGCAACTAAAGAAACAGGACAACAGCTCACGTCACCACCAACACCGGTGACAGTTCTGAGATGGCTTGCAGCTAGCAGCGAAACATGTCAACAAGGTAAATACACTTACTGCATTGTCTTTAAAAAGAACCTAAGAAGTTAAAGTATATAAGAAGACATGAACATCATTGGCTTAATAAGAAGAAGATTTGGACAAAAAGGTGTCAAAGCACTTCGCCATTTGGAGAGGCTGGAAAAGGCGCGCGCCCGCTACAACAACCACCTACGCTTCAATCTCCGATGCAGAGACGAGAACATCACGCCAGCTGTATTAACATCAAGACCCGAAACCCATAATGCAAAACAAATAGTTAATAAGGCCAAAAAAGCGCTATTAAATGAAAGGATTCGCACCACTATCAATAAACAGCATTGCGAGAACTAATGGACGAAAGCGAGAAATACGGACGGCTTTTCCCATGGAAGAAGAGGCACAACGACAGGTTAGCAAACATTTAGAAAATACATACGAATTAGAATTTAAAATTACTAAGGAACGCCATGTTAGGAAGTTAAAATTACTAATAGAGAAAAAACACAGCAAAATCGAAACCTCCCTAAAAAAAATAAAGTGGGTATGCAATTTAACTCAGCGAAAAATCACAGAAACAGAAACAAATGTACTTACACGAGGACTTAATTTTGCCACCACCCCATACAAAATACCCATAGAAGAATACATATTAGCCACAGAACTAGCATGCCAAAAAATACCAAATCAGGGACAAAAAGCAGATTTACGCAACACAGTGACAGGGATTCTAAAAACAGCCAAATTACCGAAAAGCAATATAACCAAGAAGGAAAGGAAAGCCATTAATCACATGAAAAAAGACAACACAATCATTATTTTACCCGCAGATAAAGGCAGGACAACAGTCATATTGGACACGAAAACATACGAACATAAAATGGAAGCATTACTCGCAGACACCGACACCTACGAAATCATTAAAAAGAATCCGACAGAAGAAAAGAAACGAACCCTCAAAACATTACTCAAACCCCTATTAGAACAGAAAAAAATCACCCGTGAAGCATACAACGATTTAATCCCTACAGCCAGCATCACCCCGCGCATTTACGGAACCCCGAAAATACAAAACAGACACGCCGCTCCGCCGATAGTCGATAGCATAGGTTCGGTAACATAAATTTATCCAAAGCCCTGGTCGAAATAATAAAACCACTCATCGGTCAAACAAAATTCAACTGCAAGAATGCAAAACAATTGGCACAGGAACTAAAAAACATTACAATAGCACCGGATGAAATACTCATATCACACGACGTCATATCACTGTTCACCAAAACACCCGTGGATGTCACACTACGCATAGTACAAGAAAAACTTAAAAAGGACAGAACACTCAAAAAACGCACAAATCTAACAGTTGATGACATTACACAATTATTACGTTTCGTGGCCAAATCTACATATTTTCAGTACAACAACATAATTTACAGACAGAAAGAGGGGTTCGCAATGGAGATCCACTTCAGCAATAATGAGCAGTTTTTTCATGGAGGACCTGGAACAAAAAGCTTTCAACACCGCACCACCAAATGCCGTTTAACCTTTTGGAAACGCTACGTAATGACATCCTGGAGAAAATACAACAAGGACACACACAAGAACTCACGGACCATCTCAACACACAAGACGACACAGGTTATTCAATTCACACACGAGGAGGAGAAAGATGGAGCTATCTTTTCTGGACATTAAAATCCACCACATTGCAGACGGCAGCATCAAAATTACTGTATACCGGAAACCTACACACACTGACCAATATCTGCTCTGGACATCCCAACATCCCACTGCACACAAACTTTCAGTAGTAAGAACACTATTCGAACGGGCCACACTCATCACAGACCGACAGGGAGGAAGAGGAGAGACACATCATACAAGCACTCAAACAATGTCAGTATCCCAGCTGGGCCATAAACAAAGGCAGACAACAAGTTATCAATAAAACCAACAAACCCCGAAAAAAAAACAACAATGCAACACAGGGCAGCAGGACCACAAGAACATCACTACCGAACATCAGAGGAATAACCGAACCCATCCAGAGAGCCATGAAAAAACACAACATAAGACTGTAGTAAAACCAGACACAAAACTCCGCCAACTACTCGTACATCCCAGGACAAAATCCCACAAGAACAAAAATGCAATGCCAACGAAATCCAATGCAAATCATGCAATAAATCATACATAGAAACAGGCCGGGCATTCCACATCCGAAAAAAGTAACACCAAAAGAATGCGAAAAGGAAACGTCAGAGACTCACAGAACAGACAAAGCAGAACAGGAAAACCTGTATCAGACCACTGTAAAAGAGGCACAGGATCTGAGGACCAGCACATTTTTTCTTCCAATGGTATCTGGGTAAATCAGTGACTCCCCCTGCAGCACTGAACTAAAGAAACAAGCTCAGGTCAGAGTGCACGGCTGGTCCGGCCAGAGCTGGCCAAAGGCTGCGGCCAAACCCACGGCCGGAGCCTGTGCCCGAACCCGCAGCCGGGCCCGCAGCTCGTGGAGGCTCGGACATGTTGCATCTCTCGTGGTCAGAAAAAAGTGAAAAAAGTGTAAAGAAAAGACGTCAAACTTAAAGAAACGCTTATGGTGGACTTTTTCAAAATAAAAGCCAGTGAGAAACAGACGTTTACAATAAAATGAATAAATAATAAAAACTGCGTTAACAGCGTTAAAATAATTGTCAGTGATAATGACTTAATTAGTTAATGCAAAATTAACGCATTAACGTGCCCGGCCCTAAAAAAAAACATAGCACAACTTTTGTTCAGCTTAAGTTCAAACACATCATAACGTGTGTAAGAATAAAATAGTAAAGGTCATTCCATGTCAACTCAACCAAGACCCTCGACCTTAGAACTCCAAAAATACTGAAGAAACAAAACAGGAGAACAGGTGTAATTGAGCACAGACTGAATGAACAGAGGGAGGATATAGAGTCGTCCTGGGAGGATCAGGGAATGAGCGGTGGCTGTAAGAAAAACAGGGAGGAAGAAAAAGAAGGAGCAGAACAGACTAGAAAGTGGAGCTGGACTCTTGGCAATAACACATCACTGTTGAAGTTACTCATCTTATTCAAGTTAATCTTAGTCTAACTGACAAGTAAAGTGCTTTTTTCACCCTGAAAGTAACTGTTACTTTAACACAATCATTAAGATCCACAAATCCATAGCTGTGAGTAAAGTAAATGAGCTGAATGCAAGTGAACCTAGTGTTAGATTTGACAGTATTTTTTGTAGTTTTGTGTATTTATGTATTATTGTGTGGTTTGTGTGTTGGTGGTAGATTACTCATAAACCTCTTCAGGCAGGTTTTTGATGAAGGAAAGGTAATATAACATGGGAGAAAGATACAAAAACTATTCTTTTTTTGTATAATA